TACATCTGGAAATCAAACATTTGGGTCGCTTTCTTTTCCGACAAAATGAATCCATGAATCTCTGTATGGGTGCAGATTTTTTTCCACTCAAGCGAACAGCAATTGCAAAAGCAAGCATCTCTTTCATTTTCATCCACAGAGTTTAAATTTAGTTACAGATTTCTAAATTTAAGGATATGGGCAGTCAAGAAAGTGTATAAGATTCTGATCCAACTATGAAAATCTTCTCGTTCCAAAAGATAGATAGATAAATCTGTTTGATCCCAACTGATTAATTTACCTTTGAGTCTGTAAGCTACTGGTTTTGAGCAAAGGCTCTGTATGACCCAACATTGCCAGCCTCATCAGTTACAGCTGAAAACATTCATTCTTCTTCCATAGCTGCTTATCCTGTTAGGGGTCGTGGGGGGGAGGAGCCTATCCCAGCTGACATTACGTTCACTACGACAACAGTTCATCTGAGACATGAACAGACACAGCGACTGAAATAATAGTAATAGTAATAAAACAGGACAAGAATAACCCGATGACATGTCTAGTGTTTTGGACAGGGAATTACAGTCAGTAGTAAGGTGGGTATGGAGTAACAAGTTGGTTCTTAATATATCAAAAACAAAAAGTATTGTATTTGGATCTAACTTAAAACTTAAACATAAACCACAGTTAAATGTGTCTGTACAGGGAGTGCCTGAGGAGCAGGTAGATGACACAAAACTTCTTGGTTAATTTTAGATAGCAGATTAGAGTGGTCAAAGTAGACTGAAAAAACGGTGGCAGTTATTAAGAGATGTGCTAAATTTTAGTTCTTACTCATTTGGATTACTGTCCAGTAGTGCGGTCAAGTGCACCAAATAGAGATTTAGAAAAATTACAGTTAGTTCAGAATAGAGCCGCACGACTTGCTCTGAACTGTAACATAAGAGCTAATATCATCAGAATGCACAGAGCCTTAGGTTGGCCATTGGTGGACAAGGACAGAATGATTATCTCTCTGCTCTGTTTTATAAGAAATGTTTCAATGTCCAAAATCCCAAATGTCGTGTACCATCAGTTTGCATACAGTAGTAATGGTCATAAGTTCAATACTGGACATGCATTAAGAGGTTGTTTTTAACTTCCAGTCTTAAAAACGAATGCAAGGCAACGCACTGTTATGTACAGAGGAATGAAATTGTGGAGTAGCCTGCCATCCGATATAACACATGTAACAAGTAAAGCAGTTTTTAAAAGCAGTTTGAAGAGATACCTGATGGTACAGAACACCAGCCCTCTTCAGATATAACATGTTTTTGCTGCATACTTGACTCTGATAAGCACTGAGGAACTTTGGTGGTCATTTTCATACTGTTTTTTGGTATTATTGTCTCTCTGAGCTGTATTGAATGTTTTATTGATGACTTGGATATGGTGTATGAATTTGATTGATTGATTGACTGTTGATTCACTGTTGCTTGTTTTGATTATTTTGTAGATGGAGTTTATTGTTGTTTTTTTTTTTTTCCTGGTTATTTTCTGTCTTTTTGTCTCTGAATTTTAAATAGATCATTGTTTTGTACTGCAATGTATTTTACTTCTGTGGACCCCAGGAAGAATAGTTGCTACCTTTGGTAGTGACTAATGGGGATCCAAATAAATAAATAAATAAATGAATAAACATTGCGCACGTTGTGAACGACGACCGGGGATGATTGGTCACTGACCAACATCTAGTCTGTCGTGTCTGTCGGCTAAGTCACAGCACGATTTTATGACTCCACAATCACGTAATCTGACATAGAGACTGAAAACAGACAGAAATGTCAGCACAGCGCTGCGCTGCATGTGTGGGACACAGAGCTGCTTGACTGTGTCAGGTGAGCGTTCGTTTGCTAGTTTATGTGTGAGGTGGATCATCACTGTTCTTCTTGGTAGTTGTAGTCTGATGTGTGACACTGAGACGGCGCCTGGACGCAGACGACAGATGTGTTTAAAGAATGCAACAAAAACGCAGATGTGTCTCCGTCCCTCCTGCGGCCTCTCTGTTGACGCTCTATGTAGAAACAAGATTAATGATTTAAGTCATTTTCCAGCACTAGATTAATTTGAAACGCCAAAAAACCTTTTTAACTCCGCCCACAAAGATTTTTAACTGTTTCAAACCTACCTGATCCGTTTACACTCATGTTATAGTTCAGTGTCCTGAGCTGCAGACCTTTAAACCTCTGCAGCTCCAGTGCTGTGTGCAGAAACATTAACGTACAGCTCTGCTGTTTATTCTATATCATTTTACATGAACATGTTGTGCAGCTGTTTATTTTCAAACAGAGAACAGAATTTGTCTTTGCTTTTTATTTTGATCAGTTTGTTTTTATAAAAGTGCTCCTGACATCTCAAATGTAGCTTTGACCTGCAGCTGAACATGGAGCTCATTTTGAAGTGAATACTGAGACATATATCGTGTATGGCCAGTGAGCCTGAAAATAGAGCGATATGAATTTTTGTCCATTTAAACCAGCCCTTGGTAGCACCAGAAGATCTGACTGCCTTCAGGGATGATGTTCCAGGTATGGTGCAGGTTTTATTGAGGCCTTAGAGCCCACCTTAGGGTGGGATCTGCAGATTACGAGAGGCCGTAGTGTTCTTGAATAGGCTCTGAAATACCAGGAGGAGTTGGACCAGAATTCACTTCCAAATTTGGATTTAGTGACTTCAGCTGTACACTGCTGACCCAGAGCATTACATGAGAAAACATGTCCTTTTTTAATTCCCAATAAAACTACACGACTCTATTGTTTCTATTCAGAATCTGTCAGGTTGGTGGGAGGGTCCAGCCGCTGCACTGGAACACTGGAGCTGAAAGGTGAGGATGAGTGGAGACCAGTGTACAGCGAGCAGTGGGCCTTGAAGGACGCAGCTATAATCTGTAAAGAGCTGGACTGTGGATCTGCCATTTCAATACGACATGTAAAGACTTCATTACACACACACTATGTGTGGAGTGCCAGACCTATATGTACTTGGTCTCCATCTGCTCCAAGGCGCTGTCTAAGCTTCGATACCTCCACTGTCAGCCTGGAGATCACCTGCTCAGGTAAGCTCATCAGTGTCTATCTGTGACAGTAATATTATGTAATGTGACAACAAATGGTAGAAAAATTAACTTTATTTTGATTATGTCATATATCATATGTGATATGTGTCACTGTTTGACTGACTCGGCAGCTGCGTCACTGTTTTAAGAGCCCGGTCTCACTCTGACGTCGTTGAAATCCAGTCCTTTGACATCAGCATGATACACAGCTGGTTGCCATTATAGGTTAATGGTGCTGGTGGCATCAGGGGGAAATGTGGCAGGACACGGACAAAGGTTAAGACGGTGAAAGTCCGAGTGGGGTGGGCAGGAGGGGTGGTGGATGGGTTCCAACAAACACTGACTGTCAAACGAGGGGGTGGTGCTCACTTCCTGTAAGATTGTAAAGCCAAACCCTGTTCTGTTTTCCTAAACCCAACCATGTTTTTGTTGTTGAAGGAAAAAGATGTCAATTTATGGTGTTGTACCAATGTAGTGCTTTTATTTTGAAAGAGACTATAAATGTCAAATTTCCTGTGAAAACAGAAGTGTATCTTGAAAGAAGAGAACTTGACACGGCGTCCCAGAATGTCAACCAACACACCCAGGGTATGTGACGAGGTCGCAGTGAGGATGAGTTGCTTTGAACAGCAGGTGTGTTACAGAGAAATTAGATGCACTGCAACAGACGTTTTAAGATGTTTTTACTGGAGATGTTTTTACCCATTCTCACTCGCAACCCTCGGCCTCAGACACTGAAGCACAGAGGCACATTTGTGGCGGCACGCATTTAGAGACAACAGGCAACAACCCAAGTCTTCAAGTACTGCTGCTTTATCAGTGGACATCAGCGTCAGAAACAGACGCAGAGAGGCACCTCTCACAGTGGTATGATACACACCAGTTGGCAGCGGTTTGTAATGCTGCCAACTGTAAGTTGTATAGGGAGGGAGGGAGGGGTCAATCAAACCCTGGACTTTCACCTTGGAGCCCACTGTTCAGCTCCCGTATGAATTTCAAGCCAGACCATGATGTTTTTTTCAAAACCTAACCACGTGCTTTTGCTGCCTAAACTTAAGAAAAATCAACCTACAACTGAAGTGTTTTACATGCGTTGTAGGTTTATTTTGAAAGGACTTGCAACAAGCAGAAGCAGGAGCCTGGTAAGACCATCCTGATGATCCCTCTCTGTATCAGTCTGGACTTGGTGCACCGCAAACACTTTCAGTGGGCGTGAGGACTGACCTTGACAGACAAACTCCTTCAGTCAATCAGCATAACAAAACACGCGAGAACATCTTCCTCAGCACCAACAGTTGATAAATCAAGCTTTTGCAAAATCCAGTCAGAGGAACTATAAAAACGTCTTTTCTTCAGAGAAACTCTGCGAGGTCAAACTCTTGTTTCTCTTTAATCGTTATCAACTCGTTTTCTGCAAAGACTTCACCTACTGCTGTGTTTACTATGCTAACGTTAGAGTTAGCGCTTGTTGCATCGGGGTCCTCCATTACTGTTCTGCAAAGTGTGGCCTGCATTTTATCTTATCAACGACAACACAGTCCCTGATTGGCCCAGACTGGAATTTCTGGAAAGTGTCTGAGGCGGCAGTGAGCCCAGACTGATACAGAGAGAGAAGTGTTGAGCTCACATCATCAGGATGTTCTTACCAGGGTACAGAAACTGTATATTTTCTGTTAAAACAGAAGTGTATTTTAAAAAGACACAAGTCATGGAATGACTTGGATGGGTCCGAGTTAAAAAAGCGCTTTAAGCAGTTAAAAATTACATTATCTTTGCAATGTCTATGTAAATGTAAAAGTATTCTGAGGGAAGTAAAAACTGTCTCTCTGTCTCCAGACTCTGTCAGGCTGGTGAATGGGACCAGTCTGTGTTCAGGCAGACTGGAGGTGAAGTCTAACCAGTCTAACCAGTCTAACCAGTCTAACCAGAGGTGGTCCTCAGTGTGTGAAGCTGACTTTGACCAGCAGGATGCAGAGGTGGTCTGCAGGGAGCTTGGCTGTGGGGCTCCTTCAGTCCTCCAGGGGGCGCTATATGGAGAAGTGGAGGCTCCAATGTGGACCAAAGAGTTCCAGTGTGGAGGCCATGAGTCTGCTCTCCTGGACTGTAGAAGCTCAGGCTCAGATAGAAACACCTGCTCACCTGGCAAAGCTGTTGGACTCACCTGCTCAGGTAGAAGAGGAGCTGCAGCTTTGATTTGGTTCATTTCTCTTACACTCACTTTGTTCTTTTACTGACGACTCTCTGGTTTCTGTTCAGAGCCTGTCAGGTTGTTTGGAGGATCCAGTCGCTGTGCAGGAACACTGGAGGTGAAACACCAGAACGAGTGGAGACCAGTATATGGTGATCACTGGACCCTAAAAGGAGCAATTGCAGTCTGTAGAGAACTGGACTGTGGCTCTGCTGTTTCAGTACAAGAGAAAGAGACTTCACTCAGACTCTATGTGTGGCGTGTCAGTGAATACTGTGTTAAGTCCGTATATGTCCTGAAGGACTGTGTAAGACCTGGTGTCTCCTCTAACAGCCTAGAGAACCAGTTGATAGGAGCACTGTTCTCTGCAGGTTGAACCAGTTTGGTGAAAAGTAGGGATGCATGATATGTTTTGCCAATATGCAACATCTCATTTGATCGATAACCGATGTTAGTGTATCCACTTTTTCTCCACCTCATTTTAGTGATCATCAGTAGTGGCATTAACATCATATTATGCATGTATACTCTGATCATGACGGCCCACCAGTAGATGGAGACATGACATTGAATGCCTCTCAATGTATGTAATATTCATTCATTGTGCAAAATGGGAAAAAACAAGTTGGCCGATTCTAATCATTCACTGTGAAGCCAATATCTGCTGATACTGATGACATGCCGATATTGTCATGCATCCCTAGTGAAAGCTTTCTGTGACTGATTGTTTTGGGGGGCAGGTTGCAGAAAGACTCAGGAGACCACCTTAGTGTGGTGCTATGATGAGCAAATTTAGAAAGGTTTTAGGACAGGCAGGCATATGAAGGCGAAATCACCAAATAAGCCATTTAAGATTTATACTGTAAACGTGTACCATCCATACCTCTGAGGCTGCGTTCACACCTGCCCTGTTTAGTTCACTTCAATTGAACTCAAGTTCCTTTGCCCCCTCAGTGCGGTTCATTTGTGCAGGTGTGAACACACCAAAACAACCAGACTGAGACCTTCTTGAAGAGGTGGTCTCAGTCCGGTTCCAAATGAACTCTGGTGCGGTTGGTTTGTGGTGAGAAGGTGTTCCGACCTGGATGTGAAGCAACTGCAGTCACATGACACATTGTTTGGGTTAAACATGAGCATGTTACAGTCCTGGAGGATTATTAATGTGCACCTCCTCCTGTACTGCCTTAATATGCACATTCAGCACATCCAATGCATCAAAACATTGTTTTCTAGTTGGAGCCGCACCTCGTTTTCAAACTGTATGGTTTGACTAAAATGAACAATGACAGCAATATAGTCCACGATGAGCAGCGCTAAAATCAACCTGCGTAGTTGTCCCTCCATTGTGACATTAGAAAGTGTCACATTTATCTTGCAAGTGTACTCTTCTTCAACGTTTGCTTTACTTCCTGGATTTTTCCCACATGGAAATTCTGACCAATCAAGAGCAGCTTTCTCACACAAGGCATTTGATCTGGTCCTCTTGTAAATGCTGCCGGATGAACACGAACCAACTCTAGGCAATTATACAACTTTGGAACAACATGAGTCCCTGATTCAGACCAGTGGAGACCACTCTAGGGCTGACAGCAGCCTGAGGTAACTGTAACACTCATGTAATTCCACTTATGTTTCATTATAGGTATTAATTCCATCATTAAACAACTGTTGTTGGCTTGATTTGGAAAAATGAATCAATCAGACCTCAATACTTATTCTCATCCATAGGAAACTACAATCAGTAGATTGAATAACCCTTTAATAGCTGTTAGGACGTATTATGTGTGGGCTCAGACCCATCTAAACGAACCATAGACCATGAAATGAAGGCTGTTCTCTTTAAACTTCAGGAGTTAGCGGACTTCATTCCTGTCCCCTGGCAGTACAAGTTAATAGAGATGGTGTTCACTGACTGTAGTAAACTGAAAACGGCCCGGAGGCTTTGGATTACACATTTCTAGCAGTTTTATGCAACCAGACACAGGTTTTGATGACAACAACAGCAAAGGTATGATACGATTTGTGGTTGTAAATGTTTGAGGGGAAAGATTTTTACCATTTGATTTTGATGTTTCATGCTTTGAGTCTGTGGTTGTACAGGATGTGTCAGGATTCATCTGTGGTGTCATCTGTGTGGATAGCGAGAATGAAAAGATATTGAGAGTGCTGTAATACAAGCATGCGCCATGTTCAGACAGAGAATGCTTTTTGCCTGTACGATGACAGTTTGCTCTTCTTGATGGCAGTTTGGCTCAGGTACGAACTGGTTACACTACCTTTCTCTCTTCCTTGTTTTCTCTTTCTAGCCTCCTTCACACTGGTTCTTTAAGGCAGAAATTTCACACTGTTATGTCGCCTTGCCGTTCTGTATAAAAGGTACAATCATGAAATGGGGGGCGGAGTTGTCTTGTCTTGTGTAACAGAATGACGTCTCTACAAATGGGACAGCTGGCAGGTCAGGATCATGGATGGCGTTTTGACCTTGTGTTCTGTGTGCGACCCATCACGGGAGATTAAAAAATGAGCTGTTAGCAGTTAGCGGCAAACTCAAAGAAAAAGAACAGCAGCTGCAGATGTCCACAAATAGTGAAATCAATGAGGTCCAGGAGCTCCTTACCCTCCGAGCAGAGGACGAGATCAGCCGCCATATAACAGGGACGCTAAATGATTGTTTTTGTTATTGTTTATAAAGCGCTGCTGGTGCATATGTTATGTCACACTAGATGATGATGCAGGTGTGTTCCATGTCACGCCTGTCATGCTCTTTTGATTCTGCGCTGCCATCATGCTGCCGCCGCTGTTTGGTTCTGTGTAAAGATGCAAAGGCAGTGTAAAGTAGGGATTTTAGCAGCTCTATCGCCCCATCTCTGTGTAAGAAGGCCTCTCTCTCTGTCTCCAGACTCTGTCAGGCTGGTGAATGGGACCAGTCTGTGTTCAGGCAGACTGGAGGTGAATTCTAACCAGTCTAACCAGTCTAACCAGAGGTGGTCCTCAGTGTGTGAAGCTGACTTTGACCAGCAGGATGCAGAGGTGGTCTGCAGGGAGCTTGGCTGTGGGGCTCCTTCAGTCCTCCAGGGGGCGCTCTATGGAGAAGTGGAGGCTCCAATGTGGACCAAAGAGTTCCAGTGTGGAGGCCATGAGTCTGCTCTCCTGGACTGTAGAAGCTCAGGCTCAGATAGAAACACCTGCTCACCTGGCAAAGCTGTTGGACTCACCTGCTCAGGTAGAAGAGGAGCTGCAGCTTTGATTTGGTTCATTTCTCTT